TTGTTCACATAATATACTTTTTTCATCTTTTTTGCTTTCAACCTTTATACCTTATTTGTTCATATGTGTGAGGTGTGTTTTTTCTCCCAGGAGCATATACTTGAGTTTCTTTCTTCATCCAGCATGATGATATTTATCTTTTAATTAGAATATCGACTCTGTAATAACTGATATATTTAGGTTTAGCTCCATCATCTTACGTTTTTTGTCCCATCTATTCTTTGTGCCTTGTTTTTGATTAAGCAAGTCTTTTTATTCCATTTTTTTCCTCTATTAACTTATGTCATACATTTTTTTATTATTCTTGTAGTGATTCCATACAGATTAAAATATTCATCCTTGTATAATTAAAGTCTATTTTAAATTAGTATTTTCTTCATTATCTGGATAATGCGAGGACCTTTTCAACACTAGCTCCGGTTACCCTCTTTTGTGCTATTATAATATAAAACTGCATAACACATTAGTATAGTTTTAAACAGCTGTATTTATTTAGAGTCACCTATATATGAACTCTTTCCAGTATTCTTTATTATTTTCTACATTAACTTGCTTCTGTCTTGGATCATTTCCTTTTGTCCAAGAAACTCCCTTTATTATTTTAACATTTGACTGTTGATAACAAATATGCTCGTTATTTTGTGTAACTATGTCTGTATTTTGCCTTTATTTTTGAAGGATGCTTTGCTGAGTATAAATTTCAGACTTATGGTAATTTTCTTTCAGCATATTAAAGTTATCATCTGTTTTCTGGCATCCATCATTTCAGCTGAAAAATCAGTCAATCTATTGTTACTCCATTGAAGATATTTGTCCTTTTCCTCCAGTTTCTTTTCAGATTTTTCTCTTTGTTTTTGGTTTTCAGCATTTTTATTCTTATATGTGTAGGTTTAATTTTTCTTATATTTATTTTACGTGGTTAGGGAAGTTTCTTGAATCTGTAGATTGTATTTTATTTTGGAAAATTCTCATCCAATATTTTTTTTTTCAGACTCCCAATATTTTTAAAATATTGCTTCTTTCCCGTTCCCTCCTCTCATTCTGGGACTGTAATTAGTAAAAATATGTTACACCTTTCACTATGTCTCTTATATGTATTAGCAGTTTTCTCTGTTTGCTATATTCTTTTCTCTGCTTCAGTTTGTATATTTTCTTTCTTTTTTTTTTTTTTTCCTTTTTGTCTCTTTTTTTGTGACCGGCAACGGATCGCAACCCTCAGTGTCGCGCCCGTACCGGACCGGGACCGGCAACGGGATCGCAACCCTCAGTGTTGCCCCCGCACCTCGCTCAGCCAGTGAGCGGCCGGTCTGTATGTGGGATCCGAACCCTCGGCGGGAGCGCCGCTGCGCTTCCCAAGCGGCGCACTGTAGGAGTGCGCCACCGGGCCGGCCCCAATTTGTATATTTTCTATTGACCTTTCAGTTCACAAATTGTCTCTTATGTTTTATATGTTATACCTGCTTGTTACCCCATCTATTGAATTCTTTATTACTATATATTTAATAGTTTTTACGTTTTGAAATAATCTTAAACTCAAAAAAGTAGCAAGTATATTACAGAGAACATTTTTTTCTTAAACTGCTTTGAAATTAAGTTGCCAACCTGATACAACATCACCTCCAAGTGATTTTGTGTGATTTTCCTACAAACAAGGACATTCTCCTACATAACCATAAAATAGTCATCAAAATTAGGAAATTAACACAAATGCATTGTAACCATCTAAGCCTCTGTTCCCACTGACGTTATGCCAATTGCCCCAACAATGTCCTTTATTGGAAGAGGATCCAATTAAAAATCATGTATTGCTTTTAGTTATGTCCTTTATCCCTCAGTCTTCCTTTGACTTTCCTGAGATACTCAGGCTCCAACACCCAACTGTGTTCTGCCTCCCACAGACACACAGATGCCCTCCTTGTAAGCTCTACCTATGACACTCTGCACTGGGCCATTCCCAGATCCAGATAACTTCCTCACTCCACTTGAGCTTTGACGTCCCATTCTAGGAAGACTCCTGTGGAGAAGCCCTCTTCATGCTGCTTGGGCTGTGACACCTCACGTCACACAACTCACACAGTCAGCCTCTGACTTTTCACACAGGCCTTCTCCCGATACCTCCTGCTGCTGCCTGGATTACCCTGCCCAGACTATGGCACCAACTGCCAGGCTGCTCCTCCGTGGGATGCTTTTCTCTCCCAACTGCAGCGGTGTTAGTGCTTGCCAGATTGCCCCCCTACTGAAATATATTTCTCAGCCCTCACTGGCCAGTTCTATGCAGATGCCCTCATTCCCCTTTTCAGGCTCCGTACCTCACTCTAGGCCATCACATCTCCAACACACACATACTCCAGTACAGATTTCTACCTTGGTCTGCCCCACCAACAACTTTAAAAGTGAATAGTTCAGGAAGAAAAGGGAAGAAGAAGAGAAGGAAAAGAGGAAGAATAAGAGAAAGTAGACAATTCTAGAATTTACATTTTAATACAGTCCAATGCTCTAGTAAAATTCTCTCTGTTATTTTCTTGAACACGAAGTTTATTCTGGCAGGGATGATAGGGTGTTCTCTAGTGGAAAAAAACCCCATTCAAATCCTTCTTTAGTAGTCCCCTTTTTCCTATATTCAATTGTAAGTTCTTCATTTTGTTTCTCCATCAGTATGGTCTCTTAAAAATTTTCTCAGCAGCATAACACTATAACATCGACCCCCCAAATTCCTTAAATACAGTCACAAAGGAACCATATGTGTCATTCAATCATTTTCACACAATTTCTTTCCCATTGTATAAGCATACGAATTTTTTTTTTTTTTTTTTTTTACCTGTTTCACTATGTCCTAAGAGTTTGGTTTCTTTATTAGTATGTGAAAAAAGTTAAAGAAATATGCTAACACCATTTAATCCAAGGCTGCCCATGATGGCACACAAGACATTTTCAGTGTACAGTCTCTGTCTTGTGATAAAAATGAAGAAAAAAAATAAATTAAGGCTATGTAATTTCTTAATGTAATGATTAAACTTAATCATTCTACCTGTTCGAAACCACAGTGGTTGTCTAAATAAATCAGACTGTTATCCTTACTGAAAGTTGATCCAAGTAAATTTGGGGGACCAGGATATTTTTCATAAACACAAGGGACTAATATCAAAAATGTATTCTTTACTGAAAATTTCATCCTTATAGTACCTAATTTCTTTGCTGTGGCGGCTGGAGCATGGAGTCAGAGGGACCCAGGTTCAAGTCCTGGCTCTACCACTTACTAACTCCATGACGTAAACAGTCCAGTACTTGGCACAGAGAGGGTACCTCAGTAAATATTGGATGAGTGAATGTATGAAGTTACTTAAATGTATGAGGCTCAGTTTTCTTATCTGTAAAATAGGTATAACAATGGGTTTGTTTACAGGTTACAGATAATTTATGTAAAACCTCTTAGGATATAGTAGACATTCAATTGGTTCTAGGTATAACAATAATAAATTTTATACTAGAATCCTTTCACTAATAACAAGCAAGTCCTACAAATAATAGGAGTTATCTAAATTTATGGGGTGATCCTGTTACTTCAGATGGTGTTTCCAGGATTATTTATTCCTCTCTTGTTATCAGCATTTATTAAAGCAGATGATTGTGTGTTCAGTAGTTCTGGGCAGGATCAAGGTTAAAGGGTGAAGACACAGTCTTAAGGAGCATACAAACCAACTGAAGAGAACTTCTGGACACAATTAGAACATACTCCTATAAAATAATACAGCAAATGTAAGGCACATAAGGAGAGAATAAGGGAGTTGGGTCAGTGTGTAAAAGTACGTAGAAGTGAGTTTGGAATGGAAATTGGAATTGGAAAAAAGATAGTATTTCGACTGGCACAAAGACTCTGGGGAGATTACTCAGACAGTGTGTGGGGAAGGTGTGGTGTGAGTGTCCTGAGTGCAGGTAGATGCTGGGGACAGCGGGAGACTGGTGGTTTGTTTCAGAGGTGGTCCGCAGTGGGAGCAGTGAAAGGTGAGGTGAGTTAGGTAAAGCGAAAAGAATCACCCTGGTAACTGCATTAACTTTTCCTTTTGCCATTTCTTAGAGTCCTAGCCAGTTAGCGCCTTGTTTGAATACACTAACATTCCAGAGAGGGTCAGAACTATTAGATAAAGTACAGGTTGGCAATGTTTTCACTTCGAGGTGGTCTACCTTGACTTTGTTTTTTCTACCAAGGATAATACTTTGAACAGGGTAAGCCTGGTTTTAGCAGATGACAGAATATGGAGACAGGCCAGCTAATAGTTATGCACTTGGTTATCTCTTTGGCAAACAACACTTAAAGTGGACATATTGAGGAAGACTAGCCATCTGAAGTAATTTTGGCAATTTAAAATATGTCCCATTTCGTCGGAGAAGATGTGAGTTCCTCTTTCTGCTAGTATTTTTCTCACTTGACATTCTATTCTGATTTGAACCTAGTTGGTGGGTTGTGGAATCAGGGTTTAAATATCTCTTTATTAGTATGTGAAAAAAGTTAAAGAAATATGCTAACACCATTTAATTCAAGGCTGCCCATGATGGCACACAAGACATTTGAGACTATATTTTACAAAGAAATGACAGCTTTTCATGTGCTAAGGCTGTGTAGTTTTTTCTTTTCTTCCTTCTATATTTTTGTTGTTTTTGTTAATAGAAATTCTATTTTTTCCAGTGAAAAATTTAGATAGAGCATTCTTTGTTTTTCAGCATTCATTTTTTCCCTTCAATTATTGAAATGCATGCATTAGTGCACCAGTTAGTATTCACAGTAGAATAGTTGGGATTAAATGCAAGGTTACTGTATTGGTTCTATCCTAGAAGTATTCTTGCCTCCTTAATTTATTGTAATATATGTATAGTGGATAGAAATTTCATTTTTCATAGTGTTATATTTTGAGTTCTCTGTTATTTAATATGATCCCAAGATATAATTCTCAAAAGAAGAGAATGGCAAATTATTTTAATGATTTTATTGTTTTTGTTTCTAGCTTATTCTACTAAGCTCAACAAATTTCCTGTATTTAATATTAATGATGACTTGAATGATCTGTGTACCAGTGCAGTAAGCCCAAATACCACCAAAGCCACGCGGTACGCCCTGAATGTGTGGCGATATTGGTGCATGACCAACGGGCTCAAAGATCACACGGACATCACCAAGGTAAGGGACTCTTGAGTTTACTTCTTCTTTCCACCTTCACTGAGCTTCCAAGTGCCAGGCACTGTGCTAAGCACTGCAGAGAATACAGAACAGTTGCTTTCTGCCTGGGAAACATCAAAAGGACATAAAATAGAAAAATATCTACAGTACAAAGCAGAATTTAGTACGTGTTTTATGAATTATAGATCAGAAACACCTGAAAAATTCTGATGGATGAATGCATTTATTTGGTGAGACCAGAGAGAAAATTGATATTGAAGCTGTATTTTGAGGAAGAGGTAAAATTTCAGTAGAATTAGGTGAGGCCAGGAGTCTTCTAGGCTGAGTGATATGAGGAAGAGTACAATTTAGGGGGATAGACTCACTTACGTACAGCAGAGGCTTCATATATGGATATAGTGGACTATAAAACTGGATTTTGATAACCCTTCACTGCCAAGCTAAATTTTATAAACACTGGGAAATCACTGAAGTTTCCTGTTTTTGTCTTTGGTAAGGAGAGACTTTATTTAAAAGGATTATTGCAGGGAAGGAGAGGGACTATTGCAATAAGGAGAACACTCTGACCATAAGATCTGCAAGCATCAGACAAAAGGTAAACCCCTGAAGTTTTGTTTTGTTCTATTTTGTTTGTTTGTTTCTTTTGAGCAGGAAGGAACATAATGAAAGTGGTATTTTACACAAATCAGTTGGAAGTGATGAACAAACAGTTATTTAATGTTCTTGGTCCTCAGTTTCCCCATTTGTAAAATGAGCTCTTAAGGTCTCTTCCAAGTTGAAATAATTGAAGTTTGTGAATGGAAGGAAAAAGTCTTAGATATCTGGGGACAGAACAGAAATATACTGTATTTTTATTTGGATATATTGAATCTAATTCAGATATCCAGATGGACATGTCCAAAAAGTAATTGGAAATGTGGGATTTAAAACATGGTGGAAATGTTAAAGCTGTAAGTGTAGATTTAAAGTTCTTTCAAATGGGGGCCGGCCTGGTGGTGCACTGCTACAGTGCGCCGCCTGTAGGCGGCGGCGCTCCCGCCGAGGGTTCGGATCCCACATACAGACCGGTTCCCGCTCACTGGCTGAGCGAGGTGCGGGTGCGACAGCGACACTGAGGGTTGCGTTCCCGTGGCCGGTCCCCGTCCGGTACGGGCGCGACACTGAGGGTTGCGATCCGTTGCCGGACACGAAAAAAGACAAAAAGGAAAAAAAATAAATAAAGTTCTTTCAAGTGGAAGTCATAATTGAAGCCCAAGGGCCAGTGAGATCTCAGAGTTTGGGTGATGTGCTAAAAGAATCGAACTAGAGATGAAAGGAAATCCAGGTTTCTAGTTCTGGCAGCATGGTGCACTAGATAGCATGAGGGGCTTTTCTGCTGCACTTACAAGAAGAAAGGGACCCCCCACACCCCCCAAAAAGGAGAGGTGAAACTGGAGCAGTAAGCACATGAAAGGCATGGTTTCCTGAGGGCATATGTTGATAACATTAAGGAAAGGAATAGACAGGTAGATGAACTGAAGAATCTGTGATTTAGAAGAGGACACTGAAAAGGTCCTAAAGAGGTTCTAGGTCAGTAGCATACCCTGGTTCCTAGCAGAGTCATATGCTAATAATAATTTTTTTTTTAATAAAGAAAATGGAATTTATTTGCTTACAGTTTCTAGGCTGGGAAGTCCAAAGTCTATCTGGTGATGGTGACAGTGACCCAGAGGTCTCACATTGCAAGATGGTGGAAGTAGAGAGAGCAGAGAGAGAGAGCAAGACAAACTCTTCTCCTCTTTTAAAGCCCTCAGAACCACACCCCTGACCACCATTTTTAGTCCATTCACTACTGCATGTTCCTACAATCCAATCACTTCTTCAAGCCTCCACCTTTCAATTACCATGATATGATTTCCCACCCTTTTAACAGTCACAGTGGGGGCTAAGTTTCTAATAGGTCTTTTGCAGATTAAGATCAATTAAATGTGTGTTCATTAAAAAAAAAAAAAATCACCAGCCACTCAAGGAAATAAACCACCATGAGTGAGGATGAATAAAAACAACAAACAACAGATTTAGATACCATGACTTTAGACAGTAGATTGTACACTAACTATGTATGAAATTTTTATAGAAACAAAAGTAAACAAGCAACATCATGCTAATCAAAATGATCTGGCAGATTTGAAAATAAATTAAAATATCCACTTCTGGTCATGAGTGAATAAAAGAGTCCAGAACTACCCTCTTGCTTTAACAACTAGAAAACTGGCACAATATATGAAACAACTCTTTTCAGACAGAACAGGAAGCATAGTCATGATCCCCAAGAAAGAGGAAGACTGAGAGGAGTGCTATCATCTCTCAGTCTTTCTGGATGCAATTTCTGAGCTGCAGTGAAGGGAGGGGAATCTGAACAGAGCCTGGCAACCTCACTGAGTTGAGACAGAGATCAGAGTTTGGGGATACTGAGGACATGAATACACCAGAAAGAAATTTTTTTTTTGTCTTTTTTCGTGACCGGCAATGGATCGCAACCCTCAGTGTCATGCCCGTACCGGACCAGGACCGGCAATGGGATTGCAACTCTCGGTGTTGTGCCCGCACCTCGCTCAGCCAGTGAGTGGCCGGTCTGTATGTGGGATCCGAACCCTCGGCGGGAGCGCCGCCGCGCTCCCAAGCGGCGCACTGTAGCAGTGCGCCACCGGGCTGGCCCCACCAGAAAGAAATTTTAACGTTAGGGCTGGCTGGTTATCTCAGCTGTTAGAGCACAGCCTTATGACACCAGAGTCATGGGTTCAGATCCCATACTGGCCAGCTGCAAAAAAAAAAAAAAAAAGAAAAGAAAAGAAAGAAAGAAAATGAGGGAGAAATTTTAACAATAATTGAAAAAAGTATGACAAAATCCAGAATTCAACAATGTAAATTTCACAATTTTTTAGCATCTAGTCAAATATTAGTAGACATGGGATCATGTGATTCACAGTCAGAAGAAAAGTCTTCCACTTACAGCCAATTTGGAGGACCAGATGCCTGAAACAACCAAAAATCAGATAAAGATATAAAACAATGTTTTGCAAGGCTCTGTATAATAGGCAAAGGACAGTGATCTCTAAGAGACATGAAACAAACAAGGTGATACCTATGAGTGCCTCAGCTTGCTTCCTTGAGAAAGTCAACAGGTCTGTAGTGCAAGGGGGTAGAATCCAGGCAGAGCACAGCAGACTTGCTGACTTGAGGAAGTGGAGCTGCAAGTCCAGAGACTAAGGTGGCTAGAGTTGTCATAACATCATCCTGAAGAGTAGAGAGCTGCACAGAGAGAGCCCAAGAGATCTGAAGATACTCCCCTCAGATATTCTGCTGGGTACTGATCAGCATATGCATGTGAGGAAGCAACCTGAGGCTAGCAAAGAACCACCTAAAAGGATTAGAGGTAACAGTACCTGTTCTCACCAGCCAGACTAGAAAAATCTCAGGATTCATGGTATAGAATACTCAAAAAATTCTTGCATCAGGTGTGGGGAATAATTAGCCTTAATCTGATTACTGCTCTTTTCTCACCCAACAAATCTTACAAGTGAGACCCCAAAGAATCAGATGGTTTTCAAGTAACTTAACTGTGTCCCAGAACAAAGCTTAAAAATATTTATAGGAATATAGAAATATCTAGAACACAAGAAATGAAATTTACAATGTCTGGCATCTAAACAAAAATTATCAGACATGCAAGTAAGCAAGAAAATATATCCCTTAAAGAATGAATTAATCAAAACCAATCCAGAACTGACACAGATTATAGAAGTAGAAGACAAGGACATTCAAACAGTTATTATATTTGATAAGTTCAAAAAGTTAAGTAGAGACATAGAAGATATAAAAAAGAACCAGAATGAACTTCTAGAGATAAAGCTACAATATGTAATGAAAAATAAAGTGGTTAGGCATATTAAACATTAGAGAAGAAAATGTGTGAACATGAATATATAGCAATAGTAACTATGCAAAAAGAAACAGAAAGAAAAGAACTTTAAAAATTCTGATCACTATCAGAGCATTAGTGTGACATGTGGGACCATTTTAGTTACCCTACTATACATGTAATTGGAATCCCTAAAAGGAGAGGAGAAAAGGAGAAGGGAGAAGGAAAAATATTTGAAGAATAATGGTAATTTCTCCAAATTTGATAAAAATTATAAACTCACAGATACAAGAAGCTCATTGAACCTCACCCAAGAAATGAAGAAAACTACACGAATGCATATCATAGTCAAACTGCTTAAAACCGTTGACAAAGAGAAAACTTTAAAGCAGCCAGAGAAAAAATGACATGTTATATAGAAACAAAGATAGTTGACAATAGATTTCTCATCAGAAACAGTGCAAATGAAAGACAACGAAAAAAAAAGAAAAATATTTCCGCTATTGCCAGTGAAAATATCTTTCAAAAATGAAAATGAAATAAAGACTTCTCAGGCTTTCAAAAATGAAGGAATTCATCAGCAGCAGATTCATACTCAGAAATGTTAAAAGATGTCCTTCGTCCCTGTACTGGCCTGGCCAGCTGCCAAAAAAGAAGTCCTTCAGCCACTCAGCCAAAAGGAAAGTGATACTACATGGAAATATGGATCTAAAGAAAGGAATGAAGAACACTGGAAATCATAGCTACATGGGTAAATATACGTTATTTTTTAATTTAATTTTTTTCAAAGATCATTGACTTAAAATAAAAACAATAATAGAAGATAAAATGGAATGATAAAAATTAACTTGATACAGAAAAGAGAAAAAAAGAGGTAAAAAAGAACTTCTGATTAGAAACCATGCAAGCAGAAGACAATGGAATAACATCTTTAAAGAGTTGAATTTTGTACTTAGAAGAAAAAGACTTTTTCAGACAAACCAAAGCTGAGAGAATTCATCACCAAAAGACCTACACAACAACAAATGCTAAAGGGAAGCAAAATAATACCAGATGGAAACGAGACCCTCACAAATGAATGGAAAGTACGTGAAATGGT